AGGAAGTCGGACCAACAGGGGATGGAAGGGTCTCTGTGATTGAACAGCTGCTTGATGACGTAAGTGCAGCAAAAGAACAAGTCTCTGAGGATTTTGGCCTGGCATTCTGCCTCTGTCTCTTTCAGGTGGAAGTTTTGTTCAATATTGTGATCACTGCAGTGTCATTTAATTAAAAACTATTTGGAAATGAGTTAAATGACTAGTAAGAAGCTTTACATGAATTGTTATCTGTTGCTAGTTTTTATAGCAAAGAAAATAGGCAGAAAAGTACACATGAGCCAAAATAATGTGCATGAAGGTGGACTGAATCCTGGTCTGTGACCCCATGTTACCTTCATGTTTCCTAAAGAAATGAGGTTATCTGAGAGTGCCTGCCCCTCCTGGTGTGGTAACAGAAGTTTTATTGCCTGAGTGACATGGCAGCTTTGTCCAATATATGTTGGTCTTGGAGTTCCTGACTCTCTTCTGTTTGGCTTTAAAACAGTTTAGGTCCATCAAGGATGTTTGTTACTAAATAGGATAATAATTGGATGCTGCTGAGTGCAGGGTTTTGTAGCAGGCTTGTTCTTTTCCATACGCTGCAGGGAGCAGATCCCAACTGCAGTGATAATGAAGACCGACCCGTTGTCACCGTGGCTGTGATCAATAAGCACCATGAAGTGATCCCAGTTCTTGTGCAAAGAGGAGCAGACATCGACCAGCAGTGGGGACCGTAAGTGAGACACAATGAAAGGAGAGTTCTGGTGCCATGTTGCAGCCAGCCAATACCTCAGGGGCTTTGCCGCAGCAGAATCAATCTGTATGCACGCCCTGTTCAATTTGATTCACTTAACCATTCGAACCCACTGTGGCCTTAATAAGAGACTCAATTCCTTCTGTTTTCCAAATTTGGGCAAAATAAAATTTTTAAAATGGACCGTTAGTTTGGCTAAATTTTAGTAGCAGCCTAGGTGGTCCCAATGTGAGATAGGTTCCATTAAGTAGTTTGGCAGGTAGCAGAAAGCCCTTCCCTAGTGTTTCTGTTTCCCATGTTTGTATCATTTCTATCAGAATAAACTCATATCAGACAAAAAGGAAATAGCTAAGAAGTACACATACTCCATGAAAGCTGACACCTCTTACCAGCAGACTTCAGAAACACAGACTCAGGTGAGAAAAATGCAACCATCAGTCTACTTCTTAGAGATTCAGCTGTGGAGATTTATTCTATTAGGTAATTCAAGATTTACAAAGAGAGAATGTACCTTAATTCACCATGATGCTTAGATTTAAAACAGTTTGTATTATTTGTGCATTAATAGTAAAATTTATTTAAAATACAAATTCCAGGAACACCACAGTATACCTGCTGTACAAAACGTGTTCTCGAAGGTCTGATGAGATAACACCAGTTACTCAGAAGAACAGATGCACTGAGTATCATCTCTACTCTGAAGCATGGGGTTCTGATAAGAAGGTGTATTCCATGTAGCACACTCGCTATATTTGAGCTACATTGTTTGATGAGCAATGTACAAAATTAGAGTTGGCAGAGTCACAATTCATCATTTTCCAAAACTATACTGTAAATAGAATGCACACTCTGCTTTCAGTTTAGGGAGAGTTGTGAAAGAATAAGATCATAAGTCTACTTAGGAGATGCGGCAATCCCGTGAATATATCTAAGTTCAAATGGTAAATGCCTTATAAAGACCCACATACTTTGAGGAAGGAAGTGACAAACAAGCCATATGTCACTAGAGAGAAAGGAAAGATAAAAGATAAGGAGGAGATTAACAGAGAGAGGGAAAATAGACTCTTCTGTAGTGACAGAGGACAGTGTAGATGCGGGGGGAGAGCAAAGTGTCTAGAAAATGAACATTCCTCTTGCTAGGTCTTTTCATCTGTGAAATGGGGATAATAACACTTATGTCATAGAATTGGTTGGAGGAGAAAGTGAGATCATGTATTGGTAGTTCCTATGAAGAGCCTAATAATTGGACATTAATAAATTGTAACAGTCATGATGCTGTGATTATGAAAAAGATAACCAGGCTTTGAATGGAAAATATCGACTACACGATAATTGACATAGGATATGAGGATGAGTGGGACCTTAAATAACAGAAACCCAGGGTGAAAGGTGTTAGAAATGGCTAATAGAATTTAAGTTAATTTAAGTTCTATATTCTATTGCCATTAATAGATGTCACCAAGTCTTCCTAAGTCTGAGTTTTCATATTAAAAAAAAAAGCATGATGTATTCTAATGTATCAAACTCTAAGAAGATGAACTTGATAAATGCTTTTTATAATTTAATGTGCATATGAATCACCCAAGGATCTTGTCAAAATGCTTATTTAATAGATCTGGGGAAAGGGGCTGAGATTCTGCATTTCTAACATGTTCTCAGGGGATGCCAATGGTCCAGGTACCACAGTTTGAGTAGCAAGGATCTAGAGACTGTTCTTAATATACATTGAGCTTTTAAGAGACAATCTAACATGGCCCTTGGTAAGGAGATGGCTTCACATAGCTATCAGACAGGGGATATAGGTCAGTTATATTGATCTAATAAACCAATAATAATAATGTCATCATCACCACCAACAATAATATGAGAGCTGATCCCCAAATCTTAGTTGCTTGAAGGAACTATCTATATGGAACCAATGGGCAAACCTTTGGCAATTCATGGAAATTCTGTCATAAGGCACATTGCTTTGACATTTTCATTTATTGCCTATGGGGGAATATGAGGAAAAACTAGCTGATCATACTGTTTAGATTTGCTTGACACCAGGAGCCTTGGCCAAATAAGTTATTTCAGTAGCTGTAATTATGTAAATGGTAAGATTTAAAACTAGATAAGATCTAAAAACAGTAGGATGGTTAAATGCTTAGAGTGCTGTTGCAATGAAAATCAGTAAAAGTACTAAGTTTCTCATTTACTTTCGAAAATGGAAAGCCATCTATTTAAGTAGACAGTTCAGATTCTGGTGCTCAAATCAGGCAGGGAGTTACCCTGCCACAGTTGAATGGGGAGGTTCATAGTCATATTTACCTAAAATTCTTGCAACTTATATGGGTTTCAATCTTGGAGGCAACACCCCTTCCCTTAATTTGTTTGTTCATTCTTTTCATTAATGTATTCATTTTGCTAGTGGTTATTGAGCACCTACTATGTACCAGTCACCATTCTAGGTGATGGAGATACAGCAGGGATGAAGACAACGTTTCTTCCCTCATGGAACTTACAGTTTAGTGGAAGAGACAGACAATAAACAAGTAAGCAAATAAATCAGTAATTTCAGAGAATGAGAAGTGCTACAAAGAAAATAAAGCCAGGTAGGAGAATAGCGGGTATGTCTAGGAAAGGTCCCACCCCTACAGAATTAGTCTGGAATAGACTTGCTTTAGATGCAGAACAGTGTTGGAGAGGTTTGCTCACCAGCTTCATTTATTTTTGGTCCAGTCAAACGAGAGTGCCTTCTTTATGATTAGTCCATTAGAGAGATTTTGTAAGTTGTACTTGTTTATTAAAAACAATTCTTACATACCAAATAATTTTTTTAATTTTATCAAAGTAAGATGCGCACATGATTGAAAAATCAAATCCTATATAAGGGCTTAGCAGTCCTCCTTTACCCGCACTTCTTATCCCCATTCCTTGTCCCTAGGGACAACTACATTTAAATCTTTTTAAGTTCTCCTGAGAGTCAGCTACATATCTATCACTAAATAATACACTTAAACTGATACTTCCTGATTTGGCATGCTTAGACATTATCTGTTGATTCTTGCTGTGATAGATGATCTGGCTTGCTCACCCCACCTGATCGTTTCCATCCCCACCTTCATGTTTTGATCATTCTATTATTATTTTTGGTTTCTTTATTAATTACTGTTATTAATAATTACTGTTATAAGTATAAATAATATGCCTAAACTCCTATATTTTGACTATCATCTCTCAATATTTCTTCACTGCCTTGTATATAAGTGCGTATAACCTTATATTAGTACTCTCAACCTTTACCTCGACCTCTCCTTCCCCTTTCTTCTCACAACTTGTATTAGTATATGCTTACTTTTTACAAAGCCTATCACCCTTATATTTAAAACAATTAGATTTAAAGCAGTTTGTATTATTTGTTCCAGTAGTTGAAAAGCACAGAGAACAAGTTGTATTATAATAGCTACATAAATATTGTGCATTGCAGAACCAAGTGGTATGCTATGACTACATTTTTTTTGTTTGTGGGTTCAGGATAATGACCCCTAGGCCACTCAAAGTAGAATTGTCTTATCAGAAATGTGAAATGGATTCTCCTTACACACCATCAATTATTCAGGATCATGTCAGATCTTATTTTCTTTTATAAACCGTGAATAACTTATATAATTTTTGTGTCTTTGATTTTTCTGCACTTTCTGATTGCCTTTGTTATTTCTGGTTTGAAAAAGAACATGCCTCTACTACATTCATAGTTCTATCTGATTTCTTACTTTTTCAATGCCATTCTTAGAGACAGCCTTCTTGGAGTATACTTCTTATTCAGGTTTTGCCTGACAGCTTTCCAGCTCTGCTACACAGAGGTCATTATGGGAATTTTTTTCTTTTTTAAGAACCAGTGTTTATTCTTTTTTAAAATGCTCAAGAGACTTTAAAAAGGTCCAAAGCTCTAGAACAGTGGTCCCCAACCTTTTTGGCACTGGGGACGAGTGCTCCTATGAGAATCTAATGCCTGATGATCTGAGCTAGAGCTGAGGCAGTGATGCTAGCGCTGGGGAATGGCTGCAAATACAGATGAAGCTACACTCTCTGGCCCACTGCTCACCTCCTGCTGTGTGGTCTGGTTCCTACAGGCCACAGATTGGGTTGGTGGCCCAGGGGTTGGGGACCTCTGCCCTAGAGATATCCAGATTTTGGATAAGATTATAGGCAGGTGCTGACTGTTGGTTTCTCAGTTGTTAAAGCCTAAATTTCATTGTGTTCAGTTCTACACATCCATGATTCTTTTAGTTGGGAAACAGTAAATTCCTCTGAATTTCGGCGTACAGCAGTTTATCATGCTAACAATGATAAGAAAAATAGTGGCAGTAGCAATCATTGTCATTTCAAGAGGAAACGTTTTATGATCCAGGGAGAAAGCTGCCACAACAATTCCAAAAATAAAAATTATTAATCCAGTAAAAAAGAAAAAAATTGTTTGCAGAATCTATGTGAACACTTTTCTTGGATTGTTCTGCTGACTATAAACTCAAGATGCTGAGATCATAATGAGTCTTACCTAGTGTTAAATGCAGCTCTTGAACAATTGGGAAAGTCAAACTTCTTTGAAGATAAGATGCCTCATGAGATTTCTTTCCATTGGAAATCTTCTGTAGTTATTGTTCACATTTTCCTCTTTCTTGATTTTGACCCTTGTCAGGTTAGAGGGTGGCCTCAGGTGGCTTCTTCAGAAAAGGTGTATAGAAAAAACTTTCTAAACCCTCGAATGGTATAAAAGTAACTTTATTTTCTCGTCGCTCTTGATTAATACATTGATACTCATTCCTGTGATCAAAATAATTTTTCTCAAGTCTTAGAAAGCCTGCTCTTTTGATTTTTAGTTTCCATCATTGCCAATGAAAATTCTACAGCAAGTTCTTGTTCATTTGTGACTTATTTGTTCTTCTTGGAAGTATTTATCCTTAATTTTCACAATGGTTGAAATGAAAAGTAGTCAATAAGAGAGTTAAGAAAATCTCTTTGTGAAAGAAATTTCACAATGGTGTTTTTTGATATGCTGTTTTTCATTCACTCAGTTGTCCCTTTTAGTTTAAAAAGTCATGTCTCCCTTCAGTTCAGGGAAAATTTCTTCTATTATCTCTTTGGAACTTTCTCCCCTCCATTTTTTTCCTATTCTCTTGAATTTCTTTAAGTTTGGTGCTGACTCTCTTGAATTGCTCTTCTTTATTTTTCTTTTTACTATTTTTTCATATTTTTCATCTCCCTTTTTCTCTCTGTTTTAAGAGATTTTTTTAACTCTCTTATTGACTACTTTTCATTTCAACAATGATATTTTTTACTTTCTAAGAGCTTCTTTTTATTCCGATTGTGTCTTCTTCATAGCCTCATGTTTTTGTCTGATATTGTCTTCAGTCATCATCTTCAGTCAAACCAGTTAGGTTTTCATCTTGTTTTAAATTTCTTATGTTTGTGTGTCTCAGTTTTTCTCTTTGATGCTGAGGGTTTTTCTCAGATGCCATCCACTAGTCCCTCTCTGGGCCAAACCTGACCAGGCAAAGTGGATAAACAGTTTGCCATGTAATAAAATATGCTCCGTCTGACCTCTCAGGCTTGCCCTCTGGGTTCCTAGACTGGTGTTTGCTTCCTATCATGCAAACTAAACTCACTGAAACCAAGGTCATTTTTCTAATACAAGAATAGGAGCCTCAGCTCTGAAAGGTTATCATCATATAGACAATGCCCAAGAGGGCTAAGCCAAGGTGAGACTATGTTCCATATGCTCCGTAAACTCTGGCAGGAAATTTACTAAAATACTATTTATTAGCATTTTTTAAATCAAATACAAACCAGATCATTGTAGGGTTTCTCACCTTTAAAAAATGAATGTATTTATAGACTTTTTGGTTTCTATCTAATATCCAAGCTTACCCATCATCATAGTGTCCTAGGGGAGGAGGCAGAGAGGGGAGACCCAAGAGATTGTCTCAGGTTAGTTAGTTAAGTAGGTCATTAGGTGAAAACAAGGCCCCTTTGGTCATACGCTTAATGATGCTAACTAAAGATTTACCCAGAATTTTTTTTTCTCAAACAGGCTTCAAAATACAGCTCTTCATGAAGCAACTCTGCTCGGCCTGGCAGGAAGAGAGTGTGTCAGTGCTTTACTACGGTACATTCTCTGGTCTCTGGGGGAGACTTCTGAGGGCCACAGTGATTCCCCTACTGATTTCAGAGGGCCCTGAACAGTTCACCTTGTGAATGGAGGCCACCATCCCACCATGGCTCCCAGGCACTAAGTCACCCCCTCCTTAAACACACTTGGTTGTAGGTCTTTGATGCAGTGGGAACCAATGGCCAAGATTAGCAACTGAACATTTGAAATCACAGAGTCCCTCAAAAGCTTTTAGGGTAGAGCCACCCTTGAGAGGAGGAGTTATTATGGCCTCTTGGGGATAGGCTTGGGAAAGTGGGGCCAGGAGGCTCCCAGACTGGACTCCGTGTCAGGGAAGAACCAGGCCTTCAGGTCCAGTGCTCACGTCCTTCAATACACCCCTGTTCCTTTTGCAGATGTAATGCAAGCTTTCAAAAGAAGAACACAAGAGGCCAGACAGCCCGTGACCTGGCTCTGACAGTTGGGGATGACCTCATCATCTCGCTCTTTGCTGCTCAGCTTGGCCTGGATGACTGTTAGACCTGAGGACCTCTGCAGGGCTTCACTTAAAGAAACCATCCAGCTCTGGCTGTTTTTCGTTCATTTCTTTCTGAAATGTATATTCGAGGTTTAGGAATTGATGTTGAGAGGAACTCATAAGACTTTTTTTTAAATATATGACAGCGTAAGCCACCAATGCCACATGGGCATTTCCAATGTGCCCTGGATGGTGATGAAGTTAATGTGTGTTTTTAATGATTTATTGCTGCTTATTTAAGAATTTTCTTTTAAGTTTTTTTTTAATAGATAATAATTGCACATGGTCAAAGCTTAAAAATATAAAGTATTATGTAGTGAAAAATCTCCCTCCCACTTCTGTCCTACAGCCACCTACTTCGCCTCCTCAGAGGCCACCAATGACACCAGTGTCATCTATGTCTTTCCAGAAATGGTATAGGATTATATAAGCACATATATATACTACATGCATATGTATATATATAGAATATACATAAATATAAATATAGATAACACATATATATTCTTTTCTCTCTTTTAAGACAAATAGTAGCAAACCACACCTGTTCTGCATCTTGTTCTTTTGCTTGATATATCTTGTAGGTAGTATATAAAGATTGAGTTTATGTAAAAGTTTTTTTTCTTGTTATCAATATTTCCATTATGGTTTATTCTTTGGCGACAAATAAGCTTTGAATAAACCATTTGCAGGAATGTGTAATTTTGACTCATTTCTTTTTTCAGATTATCATTTCAATGTTGGGGGTTGAATTGAATTGTAAAGCCCCTAAATTGTTTCTGTTAATGTATATAACTGGAATATTCATTAATATGGAATAATTAATTTAGCACAATAAAAATCAGACTTTGTTGAGGTGGTTGCTATCATCCCTTTATTTCCCATGAGTGACTGACTGTCTATAAGGAGGGCAGGTACAGAGTCTGGAATCTAAGCCCCAAGTGGAGTTGAGGGCCGGTACTGGCTCCCCTGTTCAGAACCTCGGCAATCTGTGCTGGGGGAGATGCTGCAAGGGTAACTAACCAGTGTCTGAGGAGACCTGTGGAGTGTGATCAGTTGATTTGGTGTCTGGGTGGGTTTGCACCATATCAGCTTTGCTCAGCCTGGACGATCTTCCCAAAGTTCTCTTCCCTTATAGCTCAGTTCAGGGGTGGCTACAAGAGAAACTGCACAAGATTTGAGATTTAGAAGGTGGAATGAAACAACAGCCGTCACACCCAGAAGGGGGTTTAAGTCACTAGACTCTTCTGTGGCTCACACCCCAAAGGCTCCAGAATCGAGGCTCAAGGAGCACAGTATGGAGTTTCAGATGATCTCCACAGACCTCTGGGAGCAGAGAGGGCCCCAAGGATCAATGGCTTCCAGAAACAATCCTGTCAGAGCTCTTGAGGGAAACTTTCATACCCTAACTGCAGGAACCACGTCTTTACCATTCTTTGGGTTTCCACACTTGCTGGGTGGAGGGTCCTGCCCTCCATCCCCTAGAGGCAAAACACACACCTGACATCTCACAATATGGCTCTTTCCATTTGCTACAGCCCATGGCCAACACAAATCACCCTAGAAATTTACTCCTTCAGAATCAAACCTCATTTAAACATGAGCAATTAATTCAATATTTAAGATGCAAGAACACAGGTTCAAATCCAGGAACATTCTGATGAAATCCAACAGGGTAACAAAACATACGAACGTTGAACTATGTGTTTTCAGGAAAATTAAATACACATGTTTCAGGCAGGGCTTTTCAAATTTCAAATTTCATATAATTTCTTGTTCTTTTTGAAGCTCTCCTTTTCCTAACGACACTGTATCAAGGCTCGATAAAGGAGCAGAACTACTATAAGTGATAACGATTCATTAAAAAAAAGGATTCATTAAAGAAATTGGGCATGTGCAGCTGTGGGAATGAGTGAGGCTGGTTGTGGCTGGAATCGCCATAGCTCAGCAGGGTCGCGTAGAGAAGAAAAGGTGGGCATGAGGTGAGGATGAGTAAGGACAAAATAGACCCCATGGGGACACATCTCCTTTTTCCTCATGGTTGCAGGTGACTTGCAAGAGACATTGGTGCCCTTCATCACAGAGCTTGTCCCAGGCTGAGACCATTTGGGATGGAAGGGGATGTGTGTTTATTGGAGATCAACACTTGTGAAAGGAAGGAAGGGACTGTGTAGAGGGAGAGGTCAGTGATGCAGGCCCAGCAAATCCTCAGCCACCCATGGGGAAGGGGGCTGGAGAGGAGGACTGCCCATAAGTGTCCCACAGTGCCTTGACAGCTATAGCTCAGTCACTAGGTGAGAGAGCTACCCTTAGAAAGGTGTGACCTCAGGTGATGCAGCTCCATGAGGCTGACCCTGAAGTTGCTAATGGCCAGAGGTGGTCTGTTGCCCTGTCCACTACCTGCTCTCCCTGCAGCCAGGCAGCTAGCCCTGCCTTGGGCAGGGGTGGGAAGTGGTATCTGGGTTGTGCATCTTTATGAATTCCCTGGAGTTGCACAGGCTCCTGACCCAGCCGCCAGAAGCTGCCTACACTCACCAGACAGCCAGCACCAAGGGGCAGGAGGGCAGCCGGAGACTGACCTTTGAGTCCCTACCATGGAGCCTCAATTCAGGCCCTGTGGTCGGTACTCAGAGTGCCAGGCGCTTCAGCTTGATCCTCAAGGGGGTGATAAACAGCCAAATGCCTAGTGGCTGCTGGCTTAGACCACTGTATCCTCCCTGCATCTGCCATCTCCCACTGCCATCTCCTCCCAAGGCCCGGTTGCCTCTCTTTGTGGCTGCATTCCATGCCCCACAGGGCTCCACTAGCCTGGAGTTTGCCATTCCCTCCTTACCATTGAGGTGAGTAAGTTCCCATTTGTTTATTGGCCAATTAAGTTCTGCATATTTTTCTTATCGATTTGGAGTTCTTTACATCCTCTAAAAGCTAAGTATCTTCTAGAGTCTAGAGTAGTGCTATGTAATAGAATTATAATTCGAGCCACATATATAATTGTAAATTTTCTAGTAGTCAATGTTAGTTTCTACTTATTCCTAAGTTACTAAGATATCAGGAATCAAAGCTACATGTTAATGATTTTTCAGCACCCATTGAAATAAACATTTTTTTCCATTAGTGATTTACATTGATAGTAGTATGTTTTTGAATCGAGCTTCCATTGCTGGGATGAATACAACATGTTCTTCCTAAATTCTATTCCTGGATTTCATTTCAATCTGTTTAGAGTTATTATGTCTTTTTTTTTTTTTAATTAAAAAGCTACTTTTAATACTTTCGGGTAAGACCCACAGGAATAAAAAAACACTGGGAAGGGATAAGTAACCCCCCTACCTACAGGAGTGGCCCAGGGAGAAAGAGGCTACTTGAAAGGAAGGAAGGACAAAAGGGACCCACTGCACACTCAGAGCAAAGGGAATGCCATCAGTACTGGAAACTGTGAGCACTACAGGAGGAAACGTGGGTGTGGTAGGACTGGCTCGAGACACACAGGCAAAGAGTAAGACACTTGGACATGAAGCCACAAAGCTACTTGGGTTCCTCCTTTTTCTCATTTGCCTTTTCTGCTTCTGCTGCATGATCTCTGAGTCCTTCTGCGTGCGGGTGGCAGCAGAAAGCTGTCGTCTTGGTGCTTTCCCTTAACCAAATCTCTATGCTTTTTCATATTCTTCTGGCAGGCGAGCTTGTGCTGGTTATCGCAGATCATGGCCATCCAGAGATAGTTTTCTAAATGTCTAAGTGTAGACTACTTTACATAAATATTTTTGTTCATTAATATTTGAAATCTATTTCTTAATTTTAAAAATCCTGGTTTTACACCACACACCAAGAAATATATTACCTGCTGTGAAAGAAGGAACCTCATTTCATTTGCTTCTTCTACTCTCTAATTTCCTAAATTCTTTGAAATAAAGATCACCTTTTACAAGGAAATTGAAATTGTCCAATCAAAAGTTATTTAGTGAGCATTTAGTGTGAGCCTGCCTTTTGGGGATAGAAAGAGTGAAATAAAGCGTGACCTCCATGTACGAGAATTTGCCATGACATTTAGAAAGTGAATGTAGCACATACACAGAATTTATGCATACATTTATCAGCTGAGTGGATCACAAGACACCCGTAGGAGGATAAATAGAATTACAGCCAGGTTCAGGCACCTTTGTCCTTTTAGCCCTCTCGCGTTATTATACGTGGCTTTGACTATCCCTCCCTTTATTCGAATCCCTACAATGCCTTCTTACAACCTGGGCAAAATGCAAGACTATTTATTCGCACAATGGAAAGTCTCTCTGAGACCTAACAAAAACTGAAATTTCTTACTCAAGCTACTTCCCATGTTACTTATATGTCACATTTCAAAGTTCTGAAATAAGAACGCACCATGACTTTACATTTAATTGAAGTGTGCAGTATACATAGTGCTTTCCGTGTTTGTGCCATTTTGATTACCTGGTTAGATGACAGCACATCCAACCTCACATTCCCACATTTCTCCATTCTCTAGGGAATGCGCATAGAGCAAATAGCACTATGTTGTTTTGTTATGTGTGTTTAATTTCATCGTATTCCCCACCTTCACCTCTCAAACCATAGCATTATTATATAAGCAAGTATGTGACTTTTTCAGCCAGGGAGGTCACTAGAGACTGAGGGGTAAACACAATTCCTGCCTGATTTCACCTTCTTTGTGTCAAATGCATGTACTGAATCTGTCAGTGGGATGCATTTATTATGGGGAAAATCATAAAGCAGTATTTTAAGGGTTTTGCAGTTAAAAAAGTTAAACCAAACTATTAAAAGCCCTTGGTAAATTTTGGAGAGAAAAATCACCTACAATGAGGTTCACACTGCTGAACTGTGTCCCTAAGGTGAGTACTAGTCCTAAGGCAATGCCCTGTTATTTATTCTCTCCCATTCATATCCAATCACCAAGCCCTGTGACTGCATCTCCTAAATTGTTCCTGGATTCTTTTCCTTCTTCTTGCAACCACTGACTTAACCAAATGGTGTTCCCTGTGGTTGGTTTCCAGGTTTGTCCCATAAGTCATCTGTGCTCATAGTGTTCCAGAAGCTCCCATCTTATGGAACATTATATCTAAATGTCACTGCATTCTGAGTTCTATGCAGCCAGGACACTAGGAGCACAAACATTCCAGTCTGAAACTGGCTTCTCCTGTGGATGGTGAGACTCTCTCTGGCCCAATCCAGTAACAGGGACTTCCCTAACTGGCGGCCAGGGCCTCAGCTTCAAGCATCCTGAGCATTGGGGCCATGAAAGTATATCCCGGGCATCATTTAAAATTATTCTTCAGTTTCCTTCTGCAGGAAGTCTCAAGAACTCATCGCAGTTGCTTTTTCCCCTTGTCTATTTTGAGTATCTCAGATCCAGGTTTCTGCTTGTCCCTGGTCAACAAAATTTAAGAGAGTTTCTTAGTTACTTCCAAAACTCTCATCTCTCAGATACGTTTACGATAACTTCAGAAGGTTTTCTTGACATAAAAGACAGGGGCAAAAAGGGTTGGGGTTACTTTCCCAAGCTTTGCTCTAAGGATAAGGATATGGAGCAGGCAGGTAGGTTATTATTTCTTCATTCCAGACTATTGAGTGAGTGAAAGAATATAATTCCTTCAGGGCAAAGCTGATTTCCTTACTATTATCCTAACCATGTGCTTTGAGGTAGCCTAGAGTACCCCATTGTTCATCTCTATGCCTCTGAGATCCTTACATCCACAGTAAACTTTTTTTTTTTTAAATGATTCTCTTTACTCATTATAGATCTGTTGAGATTTTCTATTCTTGAGGAAATTTCTGTAGGTCGTCTTTTTCTAGAATTTGTTCTTTTCATCTAGGGTATCTAA